ATAAAATAATACATAAATGACAAAGTAATATAATATAATAATATACATAAAATAATACATAAATGACAAAGTAATATAATAAAATAATACCTAAGCGGCAAAATAATATAATAAAATAACACATAAACGATAAACTAATATAATAAAATAATACATAAATGACAAAATAATATAATAGAATAACACATAAACGACAAACTAATATAATAAAATAATACATAAATGACAAAATAATATAATAAAATAAAATAATATACATAAAATAATATAAATATAACAAAAAGTAATATAAATGTAACAATATATATAACAACATGAATGGTTTAGGAGACAATTTCATTTGATTAAAATCGAATATGTACAGCGTGTGACGTGATCATTAGGCGAGGAACAGTAACTGATTTCGTGAGAGAGTTCACGTAACCAGAATCTCGATTTTAACGTCGATCGACTGATTCAGCCAGTATCCTTGAACACACGAACGAAATCAAAAAATTATACAACTGCGTCATTGCGAAACGATTACCAACGAAATGAAGATGAGTGGTGTGAATTTTTCACACTATAGCCAAATTTAACGATAGAAATTATAAGAATGAAAGTGCGAAGAATAAGAGAAGAACAGAAGCTTCCACATTACGACGAGAAATCATTCGAAATTTCTGAAAACGCATCGCTGTCAATTTATGAAACGATTGTGAGAGGTTGTTACAATAATTAGAAGTGTCTGAGCACAATTGCTTGATTTTGAAATTTTCTATTCCATACAATTTTATGTATTAATTTCTATCGCGATTGTGCGTTTATTTGGAAAATAAAAAAAACTTTTACAATAAATTATAAGAATGAAAGTGCGAAAAATAAAGAGTTTTTATTTGTATACATACATATTTAACGCGTCGTTGTAAATTTATGAAATTTCTATGAGGATAATTAGTAGTTTTCATACACATTGATAATTCCACAAAAACACTCAATTTTTCTTGTTTGATATAATTTTATTTATCAATGTCTGTCAGTGAAGATATTTACTACAACATTTTTGTAGCATTACAAACTACAATTATCATGATCATTTATGAGGATTAAATAAAGTATGTATAAGATATGATAAGATATGTATAAGAATGTAAAAGCAAAGAAGACTTAGACCAGTTTATTAATGATAATGTTATCTAGAAACTTTAATTTTTATTCATTTTATTTTATGAATAGATCGTTCAAATTTCTAAAAATATATTATACATTGTAGTATATTATATATACTACATAGTATACTATATACTATATGTACATTACTACAGTACTATAATATACTATTATAGTATTATAGTACTATTATAGTATATACTATTATAGTATTATAGTACTATTATAGTATATACTATTATAGTATTATAGTACTATAATATACATATATACACATATATATATTATTGTACACTATACATATACTATTATAGTATAAAGTATATATTATGGTATAGTATATAGTCATTATAGTATTATGGTATATATACATTATAATATAGACTATGGTATAGTATACATATATTATAGTATAGTAATATAAAAACTACATTTGTTATTCAATTGTATTCAAGAATTATATACATTATTTTATTCAATTAAATTTTTAGTATGCTATATAAGAGCTATATTTTATAATATATTATATTATAGCAGAAGAGCTATATTTATAATATATAATATACCATATATTTATAATATAGCAGAAGAGCTATATTTATAAGCTTTTATGCTATATTATATGCTCTTATGCTCTCGTGTTATATGCTCTTATGCTTTATTAAAGTATAGCATAAGAATTATATTTATAGCTCTTATGCTTTATTAAAGTATAGCATAAGAATTACATTTATAGCTCTTATGCTTTATTAAAGTATAGCATAAGAATTATATTTATAGCTCGTATGCTTTATTAAAGCATAGCATAAGAATTATATTTATAGCTCTTATGCTTTATTAAAGTATACCATAAGAATTATATTTATAGCTCTTATGCTTTATTAAAGTATATCACAAGAATTATATTTATGCCTATATTTTATAATATATTATACTATAAATTTAATTATTCGAAGAATTTATTCGAAATATTACGCGAACAAAATTTCACTCGAAGAATTTATTCGAAATGTTATTCGAGTAAAATTTTATTCGAATAATGCCCAACACTGGTTCCAGGGGGGAGAGAGAAAAAGAGAGAGAGAGAGAGAGAGGGAGAGGAGAGGGAGGAAGTAGTCGTAAATACAACTATAAATAACTAAACACGAGGCAAAGCTTTTGTTTGTTGGCAGGACCAAAAGTGGTGGCACTGTACGAGAACGTACGCTTTATACGTGGAACGTGATGTTCGGACATTCAGTCTCTCGCTTTCTCTACGTTCGCGAGCTACTCGATCGTGCCGATCGAGCCGATCATCCGCCGTTGACATCGTGCACGATCCACGAGGGATCGGGATGCGTTGATTGACAACGTCGGCTCGCTCGGGGGAAATCATTCAAACACGCACGTGGGCGGACCTAATTTCAGAAATCGTGGAGTGAGTAATACGAGGACTATTGCTCTCTGAGTAATAAGGAATATCGTTGCTGCGAGGGATATCGATGTTGAAGCGTGCGCGTGTTTGCAATTTTTATTCGATAAACATGGAGGCCACTTTCTTTGGGGATTCTCGGCGAAACGCGCGGGCAACGATTGTGTTCTTCTCCTCAGTTTAGTGTGCACAGGTGGATCGCGTGTACAAGGTCACGAGTCGTTATAACAATTGTACAATTAAGGTATTAATTCACATTTAATAACAAGAGATAATCAGATACAAATCAAGGTATTGATTTTGTTAAGTTTTTGGTGTGTGCAAGAGGTGCTAAGGTATTAATTTATAATACGGACAACAAAGTATGAATTTCGTTAAGTTTTGGTATAAAACCTGATGCCTTGTAGCTCTCAATTTTCAATTAGGAATGTCACGTGTTCCTTGCTACACTTTCTTTCAGGAATAAATACAAAGTACGTAATTTATTAACAAGAACAGATCTTAGATCAAACCGATTGTTCATCCGATTAAATTACTGTCATGTAATTCAGCTTGAAAGAATTATCACATGTAATTCAACTTAAATTACTGTCACATGATTCATATAAACGAGTCGTTCGTTCGATTTTAATTCGACTCGATACTATTCGAATTGATTTTTGCCACGCGCGTCGAGAATTTTTCGCTCCAAAATCGTAATACCTTCTCAGTTTTAAGTATAGTGAAGTGAAACAAAATAGGCAAAATAAATATTAAATTTATTATACCTCTCAATAACTTCTATCCAGTGATATCATACCGACGAGTTTACAAGGAAAGCGACGAGTTATTGTGTACGGTGTTGGTCACTCGTTATGGTCCGCAATCGGCGCAAGCGATTTAATAAATCATTCGTATCACACGAATTGAAATTTCAATAAATCCTTTTACCCGATCGAATCGATTTCCGACAAATTATCCATCCACTTTATGAAACTATCACTTGAATTCGACGATTTTAACAAGTTATAATAAAGTTATAATAAAGTCTTTGAAGCGAGATTGTCACTCGAATTCGATTTCAACTCGATACTGTCGATGATACTGTCGCGCGGTTATTATAATACCGAACTCGCATACGAGCATACGAGAACGAAGTTCCTTTTATTTGAAAATTATTCGTTTCGATGATATTATTTGACGAATTTGACGAATGTAGTTCCGTTGCGGCGACGAATCGGCGAGAATCCGCAGAAGGGAAACAGAAAGTGTGTCGCAACCGTGGCCGAAAAGGTTGCATCGGTAACGAGCGGCACGCTGCCCGTGAATGGCGATGTCACTCGACTGCATCGTAGAAAAAAGAAAGTTATGCAAACGCGAGATTACTTTGAATTGTTCTGCAGCCTGTTCCCCTACAGGCGAATTCCACGGTGGCTCTCTTGTTGGTCCTGTTTTTTCCACTCGATAATGTTGTCTCGTTTCAATTTCATAACTCACAGTCAATCGAGAAGCGATTCTATATATAGAATTTTTTTAAAAATTGCTTGATCAACAAAAGTCTTTTGATTTCCTTGGTACCTAATTATATATTTATAGTACTTAGTACTGTATTACAGTAATACTGCTATATTTATGGTAAATCTACTAGTATATTTATAGTAAATACTTATAGCAAATATACTAGTATATTTATAGTAGATACCTATAGCAAACATACTAGTATATTTATAGTAGATACTTATAGCAAACATACTAGTATATTTATAGTAGATACTTATAGCAAACATACTAGTATATTTATAGTAGATACTTATAGCAAACATACTAGTATATTTATAGTAGATACTTATAGCAAACATACTAGTATATTTATAGTAGATACTTATAGCAAACATACTAGTATATTTATAGTAGATACTTATAGCAAACATACTAGTATATTTATAGTAGATACTTATAGCAAACATACTAGTATATTTATAGTAAATACTTATAGCAAACATACTAGTATATTTATAGTAAATACTTATAGCAAACATACTAGTATATTTATAGTAAATACTTATAGCAAATATACTAGTATATTTATAATACTTAATACTTAGTATTAGTACCTAATATATATATTACAGTAGACATATAGCATATACTATATAAACACGTTTAATGTAGCATATAGTATATACTGTAAAGTTTATATTTCTTGATATCTTGTGACAGTCATCAATTAGAAATTTTCCCATTTTCAGAATTGCGATCAACAGAAATTTTCTGCTTTCCTTGGTACCTAGTATAATATATATTTATAATACTTAGTATCGTACTATAGTAATATACTAGTATTATATATTTATAGTAAATATACTAGTATATTTATATTATTTAGTATTTAGTATTAGTACCTAGTATATACATATATTATAGTGCATATATAGTATATACTAAATATATATATTTAATATAATATATAGTATATACTATACAGTTCATATTTCTTGTTACCTAGTGACAGTCAATCAGAAAAATCGTTATTTTCAGAATTGCGATCAACAGAAGTTTTCTGCTTTCCTTGGTACCTAGTATAATATATATTTACAGTATTTAATACTGTACTATAGTGCTATACTGGTGTATTTATAGTAAATACACTAGTATATTTATAATACTTAGCACTTGGTACTTGGTACCTAGTGAAACAGTCAATCAGAAAAATCGCTGTTTTCAGAATTGCGACCAACAGAAGTCTTTTGCTTTCCTTGCTACCCAATATACGTTTCGTATAGTATGTATTTGTGGTATCTTATATTGGTATCTAGTATGTGTGTTATAGTATATATTACTTGGTACCTAGTACACATATATGTCTAGTTTAATATATAGTATACACTATATTGTTCATATCTCTTGGTACCTAATGACAATTGTTAATCAGAAAAATCCCTATTTTCAGAATTCTGATCAATTTTTCTTGGTAAATATATACAGTGTGTTTAATAAGAACGTAGACGATATATTTCTCTGAAGAAATAATATTCCTTTTGTAAACAATTTTGCACAGCTCGAAAATACTATTACTATACTATGACTTAATTAATAGTGTGTCCAATCTCCACCACTAGCAATTATTGCTTGGACGCGGCGAAATATTTTTTCCTCCAAAAGACATACTTTTTCAGCATACGAGACAGATAAAGACCTCCAAAGTCGTCGAATTCGAGAAACATGGAGGCCTTTACCTGTCTCGTGTGCTGAAAAGTTGGTGAAATGCAATCCAATTAATTCCATTAATTAAGTGCTACTACTAATAAAGAGTGGTCACTGAAAGACTGAATGATATAAAACAAAAATAACTTTTACAAACACATGTCTTTTCAATTTTTTATCATTTTATTTGGATTAATATAATTAATAGATTTTTTTCAATATATTTCATGTGTGAATTCTTATGAATTAAAATTTTTTTTCTATAAATTTTTCAAACCCTTGTCAGTAGCCATACTATAGTATTTTTGATCCGTGCAAAATTTTTTGCAAAAACAGTAACTTTTTTCAGGGAGACGGCGTCCACTTATTAAACACAACTGCAGGTCGTTGAGTGACAATTGGAACGACGAAGTTTCATATTGGCGAACGTAAGCATCGTTAATACGTAAGTGAGAAACCGTGTCCCGACGAAGTTTCACGTTTATTGTCTCGTAACGATTCGCAACGATTCGCGAGCGACAGTGTAATTAAAAACTACTAAAGCACAAATACACGAGCAATTTTCACGCAAGTGCGAAATTGTTTTTTAATTTCATCGTTCCTTGTGTCTTTCGCTGTGGTTGTTTTCTCTTCGAAGAAGACGGATTGAGAAACGATTATTTACATTAAAATCGTATGAAATTATATATAGATGATACATGATAACATTTAAAGAACGGCGATCTCTACATGTAAAAGAATAATAATAGATAAATTTTGAACAATCATAAAATAATTTTCTATTTTTCTATTTTCATTTAATTGCAAACGTTGATCATTGCCGGAATTATTGTTGAGAATAATATACAATATATTTTATTTATATTATAATATAAATATATATAATATATATAATATACATTTTATTTGTATTATAATATAAATGAAATATGTAATTATAATATATATAATATACATTTTATTTGTATTATAATATAAATGAAATATATAATTATAATATATATAATATATAATATATTTCATTTATATGTAATATAAATATAATATATACAATATTTTTATTCATGTATGTATATATTTTTATTTTATATGTATATATTATAGTTTTATGTAATATAACACATAAACTATAATATATTTATTTATACATTTTTGTATATCATTATATCTTTAATTTGCATAAAAATCCTATTTCATTTCATTTTTATTCAATTAATAATCAATTTAGGAAGTAGAAATTTTCCTACAAACTACATTCAGAAGATTTGGAATAAGGCCAATTTCATCGTAGTTGGAACATTCGTATAATTTCCATTTTTTACAAAATTCACTGCTGACGAAAATAACTTTCTTTTTTCAGGATCAACTGAAATTTGAACAACTCGACTTCTCGGTGTGCAGCTCACGAGTCAATAGAGCATCGAAGAGTTACTTTTCGAAGAAATTAAGAGAGTTTCGTTCGCTTTGTTCTCGCGAAACTTTGCGAGCAACAATGACATCGTTCAATCTCAGTGTCGTAGAAGCGAATTTATCTTGGCACGAACGAGTGTTTGAAGGAACGAGCGTCTCTTCTTTCAAGAAGAATCAAAATTCTCGACGTAACGCGCAAATGTAATGGGGCATCGAAGAACAGAGATATAATAAAAAAAGAAAAAATAAAATTTTAAATATTTGAAAATTAAAAAATTAGAGAATTTTGGTAAAATTTGTCGAATTGGAAAAAAATTAAAAAATTAATAGAATTTGGGAGCAAAAAATTTGTGAAGTATATTTGTTAATAAAATTTGTAAACGAAGAGTAAAAATCAAAAAGTAATAGCAATATTTCCAAATCTCAAATGTACGATCAGAGAAATTCTGAAAGAAATTTATACGTACATGTACGCATACAGAAAATTGAAGGGTTAATTAAATTAATATAGTTGATAAGGGATTAACAAAATTCAAAGGTGGAGAATAAAAAGTAAAAAAAAAAATTAAAGACTAACAAAACTTCCAGGATTTAATGAAATTTAAAAGCGAAGTGTAAAAATTAAAGAAGAAACAGAAGAGAAATAATAATGAATCTTCCAACAATTCGAACGAGAATAATAATAATTAACGAGAAATTAAAAAAGAAACAACGAAACTTTCAACACTTTACCAGCAAAGAATTAATAAAATTTAGAAACAAAAGACAATAGATAATAATTCAAATTTCAAATGAATAAAAAGGAAGAAAAGAAAATAACGAAACTTAACTAACAAAGAATTATTAGAATTTACAAACACAATAAAAAAACCAAAAGAAAAAAAAAAACAGAACTGAAAGCCAAAAAAAAAAACCCCCTCCCCAAAATAAATAACAGAACAGAAAGAATTATTAATAAAATTTCAAAACTTCCAGTACTTTAAATATTTTTCTTCAAGAAAGAAAAAAATATAAAATTAAAATATTTTTCTTCAAGAGAGAAAAAATATAAAATTAAAATATTTTTCTACAAGAGAGAAAAAATATAAAATTAAACTATTTTTCTTCAAGAAAGAAAAAATATAAAATTAAAATATTTTTCTTCAAGAGAGAAAAAATATAAAATTAAACTATTTTTCTTCAAAAAAATTTTTTAAAAGGAGAAAAAAGAAAGACGAGAGAGAGAAAAATGACGATCGCGACAGTGACCTCGTTGGCGATAAAGGGCGCCACTCTGCTACTCGGAAAGGTGGCGATAATCCCCATCATCATAGTGGCGCTGGCCTACTACAATTATGATCTAATGGATCCCGAGAATTATCCGAAAGTGACGAACAACATAAGGAGAGAGTACGATTTCGTGGTGGTCGGCGGTGGATCGGCCGGGAGCGTGGTTGTGAATCGGTTAACAGAGAATCCAGCGTGGAGCGTGTTGCTGTTGGAGGCTGGTGGACACGAGACCGAGATCACCGACGTACCTATACTCTCTCTTTACTTGCACAAGAGCAAGCTGGATTGGAAATACAGGACGCAGCCGCAGGATTCAGCTTGTCAGGCGATGGTCGATCGACGATGCTGCTGGACCAGGGGAAAGGTGAGAGAGATATCATATATTTCTTGGTAGAATTATTGAAACTGTTAAATCAATCCTCGACACTTAGATAGCTTGTCAACTATAGGCTACCTAAGTCGGCAAAGTGTCAAGTTGACTTGACCTCAATTTTTCAATCTTGCTTTTCCAGTTGAAGAAAATTTGTGGAGAGAAATTCTTTGTAGAGATAAAAGACCAGTGGATAAAAAATTGTACCAACGTGCAATTGCGTATAATTATCAATTATTGGTTGATAACGATCAATGTTAATTAATTCTGATAACGACCAATGTAAATATCAATTATTAATTCGTAATCAATAGAAGAAACAGCTAGAATTAATTAATTTACATCTAATGTATCCAATGTAATCTAATATACCTAATATAATCTTCTACCCTAATATAATCTACTAACTTCTAAATATAATATAATCTATACCTAATATAATCTAATATACCTAATATACTACCTAATAATCTAATATACATGATATTATCTCTAAAATAATTATTTTAGAGAGTATATCTAATATATTCTAATATAATCTCTAATCTAATATATTCTAATATCTATATCTAATAAATTCTAATATCTAATATATTCCAGTATAATTTCTAATCAAATATATTCTAGTATCTATTCTAATATATTCTATTCTATTTAATATATTCTAATATCTATTATAATATATTCTATTCTATTTAATATATTCTAATATCTATTCTAATATATTCTATTCTATTTAATATGTTCTAATATCTATATCTAATATCTATTCTAATATATTCTCTAAAATAATTGTTAATTATTCTCAATTCTCTAAACTGATGTTCCAAACAAGATTAATTACTATAAAACGTGCAGTAAATGAATGTATCCAAACGACGATGAATCTGTCTAATGTATTTTTCAAACTGTGTCACGATACTGTTTTAGGTTTTGGGAGGTTCGAGCGTGCTTAACACGATGCTATACATTCGAGGGAATCGGCGAGATTTTGACCAGTGGGAAAGCTTTGGAAATCCTGGTTGGGGTTACGAGGACGTTCTGCCTTATTTCAAAAAGTCCCAGGATCAACGAAATCCCTATCTGGCTCGCAACACTAAGTACCATAGCACTGGTAAGACTGTTTCTCGATTTTTACATTTAAATTTGAAAAGGTCAAGTTTACAATTAATTGTTATATTTTTATTTGTTCAAAGTGATTTAAGCGAGAAGCTTTTACCCTTCTTTATAAAGTTTAAACTTCCATTTTATTTATTTATATCGAATATATAATAATATATTGATATTCCATATAACATAATTTGTTAATGTAAGTTTTATACGTTAATTATAATTTTGATTTATTATTATCTTGCGAGTATCATTTGTGTATTTTTATATGTTGTAATTTGTCAAATTATAATTTATTGAAATTATAATTTTGATTTATTATTATTTTACCTTGCGAGTATTGTTTGTGCATGTTCAACTTTGCTGTTTCAATTTCACACGTTTCTAGATCAACGTAATTTATAATTACGATAATTTGATATAATTCTTAGTTATAATTCTGTCGTATTTTTATTTATTCAAATCAAGTAGACAACGGAATGAATAAATACGTCCAACGTTGATTATTATTATATTTATCATTGCTTGTTATTGTTATATTTAATAATTCAATAATCAAAAAAGATGCTTTTTCTTCTGCTCACATTTGTTGTTTATTTATTTATAAAAATTTATGAATATATACGACAACATATATGCAATTCATAATGCAATTCTTTTTATTTATTTAAATAAAACAAACAAAATCAATTTAAATAAATCGTTATTAATTATTTAATAATTATTAAAATTAATAGTAATTAATGTTTTATTGCATTGAATGTTAAAATTAATTTAAATAAATTATTCGCATTGCGAAATTTGTAAAAATATTTCAACAAATAATAAAATTACTTGATTGATGAATTTATAAAAACAATTCAAACGAGCAGAAAAGTGAGACCTCTTTTGCATTTTAATTTCTAACGAAGAAATACGATGGATGCCACATACTCTATTATAGCTTGTACGTGGTAATAAATACTTAAATCAAATAGTCAGTATTTTACACTGAGCGCTCCAAGTAATTGCCCCTAATAAGATACGACCTCGTTGAGTGAAGAAAAAGAATTGCTTTCGTGTTGTAACTGCATACATTTATCATGCACTAATTAATTTTATCCAGAATTTATTATCATTAGAATGTATCAATTCATTCGTTAACATAACAAATATTATTAACAATGTCAAGTGTATGATGTACATTTTAATTATTTCAAATTTCAAGCTTTACGAATTCTTTTTTCTTTTTTTTTTTTTTTTTTTAATAGACAAAAGTATAAACAATATCGAAAATGTATTACAATATGTTACGAATATGAAGATAAAAGCAAAATAAAAACAAGTACACGAAGTTAAAAGAGCAAAGTCGAACGATACTCCGATAAGGTGAAACAATAATAAATCAAAGATTAAAATCATCATAAATTTACAGGAACAGATAAAATTGATTTGTGACTCGTAATTTTAAAATCAATTCGCAATTTACGTTAACGATAGACAAAATTAATTTACAATTTGTAATTTAATATTAATTATATATTAATTATATAACTATGTACATTCGCATGCATTCGTATATAAAATTTTATAGTCAATTTGTGAAATTAATTTACAGTTTATATTATACGAGAAGAATTATACTATAGAATAATAATAATATACTATAGAATAGATTATATTAATATTAATACAATTGTATAAGTATATTACTACACAATAATAATATACTATACAATACGTTATCTTAATATTAATACAATTATACAAGTATATTATACTACACAATAATAATAATATACTATACAATACATTATATTAATATTAATACAATTATACAAGTATATTATACTACACAATAATAATAATATACTATACAATAGATTATATTAATATTAATACAATTATACAAGTATATTATACTACACAATAATAATAATATACTATACAATAGATTATATTAATATTAATACAATTATACAAGTATATTATACTACACAATAATAATAATATACTATACAATAGATTATATTAATATTAATACAATTATACAAGTATATTATACTACACAATAATAATAATATACTATACAATACGTTATATTAATATTAATACAATTATGCAAATATATTAATTATACTATACAATATATTATATTAATATTAATACAATTATATTAATACAAATACATTAATTATACTATACAATACATTATATTATAGAAGAAGAATTTGCAAATAAATGAAAGGAGAAACTAGTGAATGAATTTCCTCGAAATTTTGATTAAACGAACCGTTTTTAAAATTTGTATTTCCATTTTGTTTCCATTCGAGGATTTTGCAGAAAGTGAAATTGTCTAGTTGCAAAGGAACGCGCCACAGATAGTCAGAGACTGACAGAAACAATAATCAAGCGTTACTACACAGCGAAGCAATATCGCATCCGCTGTGAAACAAGGTCGCCAAATTGACATAATTAATAAATATACGATCTACTATCTGGAGAAGAAATGGTTACATTGGTTGTCATTCTGTTCCAGAAACGTCACGTACTTACGAGTAACTTCTAAATTATTTCAAATTAAAAAAATTAGGCCTGAATGTGCCAAATTAATGATTCTCTCTTTCTTGCATCTTCTCTCCACTTTTTTGTGAGAAAAAATATTCTTTATATAACTCAAATGAAAAATAGTCATTTCCAGAATCTTCTCAGTCAAAACTGTGTAATTTTCTTAATTTGCAAAATTAACATTTTCTTCGGAATCGTTGTCTCTCTCTTTCAAGAGAATATTATTGAAGATTAATATTTATAATATTTATACCATCTATTTATATTTGAAATATTTGTAATATTTGTACCATCTATTTATATTTGTAATATTTGTACCATCTATTTATATTTGAAATATTTGTAACATTTGTACCATCTATTTATACTTGAAATATTTGTAATATTTGTACCATTTATTTACATTTGAGATATTTGTAATATTTGTACCATTTATTCACATTTGAAATATTTGTAATATTTGTACCATTTACTTATATTTAAAATATGCTGCACTATCAGTTTGTATTTGAAATATTTATAACATTTATACTACCTGTGTGTATTTCTACTATTTGCAATGCACTGCCTCTGTTGCAACGTTCGCAATTGTTAAAGAATCAACAAATTCGCGCAACTGACTTGACATTCTCACGAGATTCTTTCTTCTTCGTTTCACTTTGAAGGTGGCTACCTAACGATCCAAGACTCCCCGTACAACACACCCTTAGGCATAGCTTTCCTCCAGGCTGGCGAGGAGATGGGCTACGACATCGTGGACGTGAATGGCCAGCAACAAACGGGCTTCGCGTTGTATCAATACACAATGCGACGAGGTACCCGATGCAGCACCGCCAAAGCTTTCGTCAGACCGATCCAACTGCGGAGAAATTTTCATCTGTCACTTTGGAGCCACGTGACTAAGATTCTGATCGATCCAGTTACGAGAAGAGCCTACGGCGTCGAATTCATCAGAGAGGGGCGGAAACACGTGGTCCACGCCAGAAAGGAGGTGATCCTCTCAGCAGGTATACAATCGCAACTAAATAATTAATAATCGTTACACTCGAAGAATTGAAGAGATTTCGACAATTAGAACGTAACGCCAATTTGATCGTTTCGCGTTTGTTTTCATGATAAATAATTTCTGATGAAGAGAACAATGACTTTAAATTATGGTTAAAATTTCACTGCAAGTAGTCGACAATAATTTTTTAATGAAATGTACGAGTTTCGTAATTAACTTTTTTTTCACAAAATATAATAATAATATATAATAATAATAATAATAATAATAATAATAATAAAATATAATAAAATATAATATAATAATAAAATATAATAATAATAATAATACAATATAATAATAATAATAATACAATATAATAATAATAATAAGAAATTTATTAATTAAAATTATTCTATAAATTAATTTTAAATATTTATATTTATATTATAAATTATACTTATTAATTTAATTATAATTAAATTTTGAAATTATTTAAAGTAATATTGTTATTTCTATTTATAATATATTTTAAATTAATAATTAATATATTTTAATTTAAATAAGAATCATTATAAAATGATTAAATTTTAAGTCGAAATTAAATGTATTTTTACTTCATATTTATAATAAAATTAAAATACATTTATTAATAAATTTTTATTAATTCAATAAAATAAATAAAAAATTTAAAAAAATTAATTCATGACAGTAATGAAAAAAAAAAATTAAAATGATTATTGGTAATTGAAAGATATTATAACCAAATCATTATTCACTATGATCGAAACAGTGAAAAATTAATATTTCTCTGTTGTTTCACTTTTCACGAAATTTCTTTGGCAATTAATTTCGTTTTTAATGATTAATTCTGACCGAGTGACTTCTTTTCTTCAGAAAATGTTTAAGAAAAAGATTGACGATTAAATTCAATGACAGTTTAAGAATTATTTAGAAATATTTTAAAATTAGTAGATGAACCCTTTGAACCCTCATTTTATATTAATTTGGATCTGTTTAATTCTTAATGAGATTAATACTTCCATTATACGTATCTTCTAGTGATATTAATTATTAGTGTTAGTCAGAACGAGTTAAAAATTAACATTTTAACGATATTAAAAACTATGAATACTATTTTTACAATGAAAATATCGATTATTACAAATTAATTATTAATTTCATCAATTAATCATTAAAAGGTACGAATCTCCTTTATAATGAAAATGTTCATTGGAATAAACTTTTAATAAAACTATCAATTTCATTATTAATATCACTAAATTTCAGTAATTAATATCACTAAAAATTGACGCGTTTCAATTATAATGAAAGTATTCTCTACAATAAAATATTAATTTCATTAATAAATACCTAACGTGATCACGAAAGGAGCGATATATTATTTCTATTTATAACAAAAATATGAATTTCATTAATAATTAACGTTATGAATTTCACTAATGACCAATATCACTAAAAGCTGTGTATAATGAAAGTAATTTCATTAATATTCAGTAATAATATGTAATAATAATGAAAGTTATTAATTTCATTCATAATTAACATCATGAAAAAAATATGAATTTTAATAGTAATTAATATCGTTGAAAGATCTGAATAATGAAAGTATTCGTCGTGAAAAAATACTAATTTCGTTAATGATTGCCGAAATTTCATTAGAACAGTATGAGTATCATTTACTTATCATAATGAAACATTAATGATTGCATAGAAAATATAATAATAATAATAAATACAAACTTCATTATAAATTATAATTATAAATATATATAATTATATTATATATATATATAATATAAATAAATAAATTAACAAATATATATATATATATATAATTATATATATAATATAAATAAATAAATTAATGAATATATATATAATTATAAATATAATAACAAATACATACTTTGTCCGTAACAAAAAGATATTCATCCTAATAAATTGAGCATCGTTACGAAATTCGTCAATAATCATTGAAATTTCATCAAAGGACGAATGTCATTTACTCATCGCAATGAAACATTAACAATTACATACAAAATACACACTTCATAACAAAAATAAAACTCGACGAACATCGAGTCGAATGTATAACGTTTCGAGTTTTCGTTTGAACAACGAAACGAAAAAAAAAAAATTAATCATCTACAAACGAAGCACGAATCACTGTCACCATGTCTCACCAGGTGCCATAAACTCCCCTCAACTGCTGATGCTGTCGGGTATCGGGCCCAGGCAACACCTGCAACAAGTGGGGATCCCGGTGATCCACGACTCCCCCGGTGTCGGGCAGAACCTGCAGGACCACATAGCGGTCGGCGGTTTGATCTTCCTGATCGACTACCCGGTCAGCACGGTGATGACCCGATTGGTGAACCTGAACTCGGCGCTTAGGTACGCGATCACGGAGGACGGGCCGCTGACGTCGAACGTCGGCCTCGAGACGGTCGGGTTCATCTCGACGAAGTACGCGAACCAGAGCGACGACTGGCCGGACATCGAGTTCATGCTCACCTCCTCGTCCACCACGTCCGACGGCGGCACCCACGTGAAAACCGCCCACGGGCTCACCGACGAGTTCTACAACGAGGTGTTCGAGTCCATCAACTACCGCGACGTGTTCGGTGTCTTCCCGATGCTGCTCAGGCCCGAGTCACGTGGCTTCATCAAGCTGAGGTCCAGCAACCCCTTCGACTACCCGCTCATGTATCACAATTACCTGACGCGCCAACAGGACGTCGACGTGCTCCGGGAAGGCGTGAAAGCAGCGATCGCGCTCGGCGAGACGAGCAGCCTGAAGAGGTTCGGCGCCAGGTTTCACAGCCGCGCGTTGCCGAACTGTGGCCATCTGCCTCTGTTCACGGACGAGTACTGGGACTGCGCCATAAGACAATACACCATGACGATTTATCACATGAGCTGCACGGCGAAGATGGGCCCGCCCAGCGACCCCATGGCCGTCGTGGATCCCGAGCTGAGGGTGTACGGTGTCAGCGGGTTGAGAGTGATCGACGCGTCTATCATGCCGACCATCACCAGCGGGAACATCAACGCGCCGGTGATCATGATCGGCGAGAAGGGCGCCGATCTGGTGAAGAGGCAGTGGTCGCCGAGGAGAAAGAGGGACAACGTGACGAGTGATGAGTGACGAGTGTTGAAGAGAGATTGTTGGGAGCTGGGGAATTATTCGAAAGTCTTGGAACTACTTCTACGACGACGAGTAATCGACAAGGTAATTGCTATCTACGCGATCGGGAGTATCCGGAAAACCGTTTCAAGTGAATTGTTACGACACGTGTATAATTTGCTGATTGTTACAATGTACACGTGGACGATTTATCTTGAAAGTGGAATTTGTTTTGTTAATAAAAGTTGTTCAGAGAGAGCCACGAAATTTGCTGAAGACAGAAAGAAGAAAAAACTAATTTTGGTTAGGTTTCGTAGGGAAAAAATGGTGCACAATGATTTCAACTCGTGTAACACTGGTGTTACACCACGATACTAAGAGTTGGCAATTGTTTGTGTTTCTAGGAGCTCTCGATCTTCAAATTACAGTCGAGAAAAAAAAAAAAAAATCAAAAAGAACATATCGTTTCTATCAACAGTCGACACAGTCGAGTTCTATTTTAAAATTCAACGTAAAAACTGCATCGAACTACGGCTTCTACAGATTTAGATTTAGGTTTTTCAATTTCACGTTATTTTGTAAATTAGATAGAATAAAATAAATTATACTGTAGAGTAAAATAAATTATACTGTCATTTAAATTATAACAGAGAGATGGATGTAAATGAGAATAGCGTAAATGACACAGAGTACATGAAATAATATTGTTGTTGTAATAATAATAATAATAGTTATTATTATTATTTGTGCTCATTTTTAAATGGTCACGTCAACAAAGTCATTAATGACCACCAAAAATGAATAAACTTATATTTTTCAGTGATTCGAATTTCGCAATATTTTGTAAATGATAAATTAAAGAAGAGGAATTTGCAACACTGCAAATAGTGTTTCTCGTTTCTCTTCGTGTTGTTTTGTAGATAATAAATTAGAGAAAAGAGGCAGAACCCGATAAAATAGAAATATTTTTTATCGACGCTTAAATTCTTCAGTTTGATTATAAAATGATCATAAAATGCGTAATAGCATTTTTCACTGATAGCTACTAAATTTACATTCAATGATTATAGAAGAATGCAAAGTCGAATGATTGTTTAACTGTCGTTAGAGAAATCTGATGTGTTATATGTATTTTCAAACAAACAATGAAATACCGGGTTAGCAATTGTGAATGTGTTCGTTTTGTACTATTTTTTTATCAATTAAATGCATTACTATACATGCAATACTAAGCTGTTAAATTCATTTCTTCGAAAACCTAATCTAAACTATACTATATATTACACTATACTATACTAGGTTACTATATATTACACTATACTATACTAGGTTACTAGGTTACTATATATTACACTATACTATACTAGGTTACTAGGTTACTATATATTACACTATACTATACTAGGTTACTAGGTTACTATATATTACACTATACTATACTAGGTTACTAGGTTACTATATATTACACTATACTATACTAGGTTACTAGGTTACTATATATTACACTATACTATACTAGGTTACTAGGTTACTATATATTATACTATACTATATTAGTATATTATTTTATCTTTCAATTAGAAGCTTAATATAATTTATATAGTATATTATACTATTAAAATAATTTATATAATATGGTATATTAATATACCATATATGGTATATTATACTATATTAAATTACTCATTGAAATAAGAAAGTAATTTCAATTAAAGAAGCTAATATTGATATTGGTAGAAATTTTTGTTATTTAAATCAATAATTCAATTTAATTCTTTTTATTTTGAAAACCTAACCTAAACGCGTTACTATATGTTAGACTGTACTATATTAGTATATTATTTTATCTTCCAATTAATATTTTTTTATAATTTATATGGTACATTAATATAGTATATTATACTATTAATATAATTTATATAGTATAGTATATTAATATAATAGTATATTATACTATATTAAATTACAAATTGAAATAGAAAACAGTTAGAGAAGCTAACATTGATATTGGTAGATATTTTTGTTTCGTTAAATCAATAATGAAATTTACTACTTTTTTTTCTAACCTTTTCTAAACGTGTTACTATATATTATACTAGACTGGACTAGACTAGTATATTATTTTTTCTTTCAATTAGTAGTTTAATATAGTACATTACAAAAGTATATAATCTTCAGTTAGAGAAGCTAATATTGATATTGGTAGAAATTTTTATTTTGTCAAATCAATAATCCAATTTAATTCTTCTCTTCGAAAACCTAACCTAAACGCGTCGCCATATATATATCAAGCTACTAACTGAAATAAAAGGTAATAAAAAAGTAAACTTCAGTTAGAGAAGCTAATATTGATATTGGTAGAAATTTTTATTTCGTTAAATCAAAATCAGACCAATAATCATTCAAATTTCATGGAAAGTGCACTAATGTACTATATAAATTCATTGTTCGTTCATTCACGATTCATCTTCCTATGTGATCCACCTTTTTGCAATGAAACTAAACTTTTTGAGTTTAACTAAACCTCTGCTAAGCTAAAACTAATGACAGTTTCAGTCACTGAAAAATTCCAACAATTTCATGCGCGAGAACCTAATATTACAGTATTGTAATATTGAACTTTTAAACGAGGTAAAGTGGAACGTTTGTTTCACTGCAAGAACATCAACCCCGAATCGCTCGATTGCTCGCACACCTTTTACACGTCCTTGAACATACTGCCCAGACGAATGAAAGTACACCTCGCATGCAGCGCGTTACATAACTATCGCGCATAAAACGAAAATAAGGAATTCCGCCGATCTTTCGGTATTTCGGATAAAATGTATGCGATCGAATATTCTTACAACCCTAGAACGCAGCAAATATACAGGATGGTTCGGAAAAATAAACGAAAGAGTTGACATGGAATTTTTTCGTACAATTTCTAAGAGAAAATCGAGTTCAAAAGTATTTAAATTATCGTGTCGAAGAACAATTACTGAACTTGAGTATCAAGAATATTGCGTAGTTAGAGTAAAGAATTAATTGTTTAGTAATTCTAGGAGTTGACGCTAGAAGATTAAAGCAGAAAATTTTCTAAATTTACTAAAGCAGACGAAACGCAAAGAAAGTAGAAAATTTTTATAACAGAATATGTATGCTAAGTCTCATTTGTGGATTTTACAAAAAATCATTTACATCTCTAAAAATACGCTCTCAATTTAATTAATTCCGTTTGAATTTCTCTGTCACAAGTCATCATATACACACATTTGATCATCAGTATGTCTTATCTTATATTTCTTATATCTTATTTTATATTTCGAAATATTCGAAAATTTTTTTATTTATTTCTATTGAATTTCGTTATTTATTTTTATTTCCTACTTTGATTTTTTTTGAATTCAAGTCCTACATATTGATCGTTAGTATTCATATCCTATATTTCAAAATAATTCTAGTTTCAAATATTAGAACATTTTTTGCTGTTATACTCATTTACTTACATTTAATCTAACTTTATTTCAATTTCCCTTTCTCCAAGTCTTATACTCTAGTATAAATTTCTACTCTGTGCACTCTATACTCTATATTCTGTATACTATATACATTTCTACTCTGTATACTTTATACTCTGTATACTCTAGTACACATTTCTACTCTGTATACTCTGTACTCTATACTCTATACTCTATATTCTGTATACTATATACATTTCTACTCTGTATACTTTATACTCTAGTACACATTTCTACTCTGTACTCTATACTCTATACTCTGTATACTCTAGTAGACATTTCTACTCTGTACTCTATACTCTATACTTTATACTCTATACTCTGTACTCTATATTCTATACTCTATATTCTGTATATTCTAGTATACTATTTCTACTCTATACACTCTATACTCTGTACACTATACACTATACTCTATACTCTATACTCTATAGTCTATACTCTATACTCTATACTCTATATTCTACTATATACTCTATACTCTATACTCTACTCTATACCCTATACTCTACTCTATACTCTATACTCTATATTCTGTATACTCTAGTATATATTTCTACTCTGTATACTCTATATTCTGTACTCTATACTCTATACTCTATACTTTATATACTCTAGTATACATTTCTAGAGTTAATCATTCGAGAAATAATACGAAGAAATATAAAATAAAATATAAAATACAAATAAAAGACAAATCGAATCTATGAATTAACCTTTGTTGTATTTTCACACGGTGAAACCAACCAGAACACTTACGATTATTTAAATACGAGTAACATTCGTGACAACACGCACGAATTTGTCAAAAATGTTACGCAATACGCGTTTAATAAAACAATGGTTTGTATGTTTGTAAATGTTTACACGATCTGCACACAAAGTGATAATATCGTTCTAGCATTATTAAAACGTTGTTACTCACTATAATTGCAAAGATAAGATCTCAGACCCGAGAAAAGAATGAAATGGAAGAAAGACACGCACGTCACGCACGCAAGTATGTAGCGTTCTCTTAGCGTGAAATCTTGAAAGCAGGATTCACTCTACTCTCCTTTCAGTGTGTTTCTTAATCGATAAAGAAGTATTCTAAACGGATCACCGATCGATCATCGAGGAACTTAATAATGAATCACCATTTTCGTACACATGTAGAAGTGTCTTGGAGGGAAAATTTAAATTATACGAAAGATGTGTATTATCTGTGCTACAAACATATATGTATATTGTCTTAATCGGTAAAGAAGTATTCTGAAACAATCGTCGTTCAATTATTGAGGAATTTATTGATAAATTATTATTAATAAATATGTAGAAATTTCAAAAAGAAAAAATATAAATTTCACAAAAAGAAAATTTAAATTAAAGATATATCTTTAATTTAAATTTTCTCTTATACGTATATTACCTGTACTATATATATTGTCTTTATTATATATAATACAAATAATTTTTGTATATTTTTTATATATATACAAAATTTTATAGATAAACTTGTTAAGTAATTAATTAATTAATTAATGTAGTATAAATTATATATAAACTTGTTAAGTAATTAATTAATTAATGTAGTATAAATTATATATAAATTAATTATATATAAATATAATTTAAATTATATTATTTATATTTTATATTATTATTATTATTATTTTTATATTATATTACTTATATCTTAATTATACTACATTAATTCGTTAATTAATTAATTATTACTTAAACAATTTTAAATATAATTTGAATATATTTATATATAATATAAATATAATATAATATAAATATAAATAATAATAATAATAATAGAAAATAATAATAATATAAAAATATATATTATCTTTACTATAACTGTACACCGTATAGTATAACTATATACAGTATACACTGTACAGCATAGTTACAGCATGAAAAGAGATTTCTCTTTTTTGAAAGACACGATGTTATGCAATAAAATCTCTAGTGATATTTTTTGATTTTTATCGTGCCAATACACTCTCGCTCAGAAATTTAGAATATAGTAGGATTTCGAAATAATGAAATAAAGAGGTTTTATTTGTAGAACAGTCTCGTATGCAATATCATTCTTTCAAGTACCATCGGAGAACTTTATTTATAATATTGTTCTTTCGAGCACCGTTAGTGTTTTATTATTTCTAATAGTTCTAATTTTTTTCATATATTTTTTTTTATTATTATTAATACTATTTAAAAGTAAGAGTAATTGTAATAATTGTATTGTTATTCAATTATAAAATATAAAACGACGTACAGAGCGCGAGTTACTTGAAAATGCAAACATTCAGTTTCAATATCAATAATTTCACATTTAATGATTGCAGTTTTCAATTTTACAATCTCAATGCCGTATAACTGTTTTTTAATCGCCAGAAGCAACAAGAAACAAAACATACATTAGCATATTTAAAGTACTAAATATACTAAATTAGTAATATTTACATAAATTTAGAACAAATAAATTTATTAGATTAGTATATTCGAAGTGGATTTACCATAGATGAATGATGTTCTTATTTCTTACTAAAATGTACGGAAAAGCGCAAGAAAAAATATCGAAGAAAATTTATAATTACTATTAATAATTACCAACCATCGAACAAGACATTCCTATTGGAAAAAAAAAAAAAAAAAGAAACGCGTGAAAATGTTTTGTAGACAGTTTCACGATTTAAGGAATCCCGTGTATATTTTGCAAGAGACAGATAAGCGTC